TCCTGTTTACCTCTAATTATAGGTGAGACAAGTAAGCTTGTTCATTAGATATTAACAATGGCTTGAATGAATAACAATAATTTTCTTGATTACTCTTGAAGGTAAGTCATTTAAAATCATTCAAATTAGGCAGTGGTGTGTATTTATACTCCCCTTGAGGATCAGAGGCTTTATCTGAAATGGGCTAAGACATAAAGCCCAAACTTAGGTTCTAAACTATGATCCATGTAAACAAAAGGCATTTCATAAATACGAAAAATAAAAACTTAAAAGCAGTCCAATAGCAGAAAATATCCAATTATGCTGGGTGTGGTGGTGCATGCCTGTAATTTCAGCTACTTGGGAGGCTAAGGCAGGAGGATTGAAAATTCCAGGCCAACCTGAGTAACTTTAAGACTCAAAATAAGAAGGGCTGGAGATGTAGTCCAGTGGTAGTCTACTTGCCTGGCACATGCAAGGCCCTGAGTTCAATTCCCACTACCACAGAAGAAAGAGGGAGGGAAGAAAACTTAATTATACATAAGCCATGAAATTATAAAGGTAGGATAATGTGAATAAGCACTCCATTCAGGAACAAGTAACCAAGAAATAGTGGATCACAACCAAGAGATCTCAGGATAAGTAGGACAAATTCAGCTACAAAAATCTGGTTGAAGCTCTCTAAATGACACAAAGCAAGATTAAGATGAAAGTATAGGGCCGGGGATTTAGCTCAGTGGTGCCGCCACCTGAGCTCAAGGTCCCAATTTCAATCCCCGGTAACAAAATAAATAAAAATACTACCCAGGCAGGGTGCTGCTCACCTGTAATCCAAGCTACTGGAGAGAGAAGAATTACGAGGATAGCCTGGTCAAATTTAGGGAGAACCGTCTTAAAATTACACTTAAGGGCTGGGGATTTAGCTTAGTAGTTCCGGCGCCTGCCTCGAAAGCTGAAGGTCCCAAGTTCAATCCCCAGTACCAAAAACAAACAAAAAAAACAACTACATTTAAAGGGGGGAGGTAGGGGGTGTAAGGGGGCTAAGAATTTAGCTCAGTGGCGCCACACCTGCCTCATCAAGTGCAAGGTCCTCAGTTCAATCCCCAGTACTGAAAGAAAAAAAAAGGAAAAGAAAAAAAGGGACTAAGGATGTAGCTCAGCTCCCAGGTTCAATCCAACGCCACAATAAAATATTACTGAACTTTCCCTCTCCTCTTTGCAAGTAAGAAGGCCAAGGATACAGTTTTGAGAATAAATCTTATCTAGTAAGGTAAACTGGCTAGTAAAATGTTAAATGCTTCCATCAAGTACAATTATAAAAAAGTCTAGTTTTGCTAATTTCCAACACTGGTTTTGGCATGTAGTCCAAAAATGTCCTTTAGATAAACCTATCTTTAGTAATAGATAAACCTGCATTATCAATATTCCCCTTAATTTCTTCTAAGTCTTCAAGAACTTAGGGCAGGGGATTTAGCTCAGTGGTTTCGCCGCCTGCTGTGCAAGTGCAAGGACCCGAGTTTGATCCCCGGTACCAAAAAAAAAAAAAGAGTATACCCTGGGCAACAAGCACCCAAACCTAGGAATTAACACACAGAGTTGGATAGAACAATGTGAGTAGGAAGTGTAGCCAACATTGTATCTGTCAATAACAAAAAGTGGAATTAACACAGCAGATGAGCATGAGAGGAAAAGTTAGTGTCACAGCCAGTCCTTCTGCACATACTAAGATCATTATATGATCTATGGTCCCCAAATACACAACTATCCTACATATTAAGTTGGCTAGCTATAAGTATTATCATTAAAAGAAACACACCCAAGACGTAAGCTAGCTAGCCTATAGACAGGTTGGGAATAAGAAGTGTATTTTATTTTGTTCACTCTAAGAGACATCTACCACTGAATAGGCACACAATTAATTTCTGGCCCTTACGGAAATATTCACTCCTTCCAAAACATTTATATTAGCTCACTAATTAGCTATACCTTAAAAATAAAGCTGTATTCCAGTTACTTAAATAGAAGCTAGAAGAGAAATTTTAGGTAATAAATACTAGGATCACATTTACTATAAAATAGAAATTGAAAGGGTCCAGAGCTTGACCTCTTTGAGATATACTATGTGATTTGAATCTCAGCCACTTCCTGTTAAGACAAGTTAACGTAACCTCTCTGCATTACTTCAACCCTAAAATGCAGTCATCTCTCACATGGTTGTCTTAAAGACTGCATACTCACAGGGCTCAGAAAATATGTGGTATACAGTCAAGGCTTTATGTCTTACTTATTGTAATATATGTAAAAGAAAAATCTTTTAAAGTTGGTTCTGTAGTTGAGAGAATATACTCTAGAACCAGATGGCCTGGGTTCTAATCCCACCTGTCACACAAACCTGGATGTTAGTTTTTCTTCCCCTTAACCACTCTGCTCTAGTTTCTGATTTCAAAGTGTAGACCACTGTACTACTTCCTACATTTGTTAGATCAAATTAGTTAATATAAGTTATTGTTCGAAATAGTTGTAATACACTGAAAACCTGAGTTAAACCCCAACCCCATGGCCTTTCACTGAGGGATCCCCAGCCCATTTTTATTTTTTAAACAGGCTGTCTCACTAAATTGCCCAGGCCAAGACTCAACCTTGTGATCCTGCCAAGTGCTGGGATTACAGGAACGTGCCACCAAGCCTGGCCCAAGTTATTTTCAGGCTTGGTTCAGGTCATATTTTAACGTGAAAAAAGCGCTGTATTCAAACCTTCCCCAAACCTATATACTACAGTCACTTAGTTTAATGGAAGTGATAAAATGATCTATGGCACCCAACATCAATCAATTTGTAATTTTATTTTTTTGATTTCTGTTGTCCAACAGCCCTATCTGGGATTATACTACAGGTGGTCCAGAGGAGAGCTACAGTAAAAAACAAGTTACCTGACCTAAGAAACAGTCAAAAGATGTAAGTTGAAGAAAAATTCATAAGCCTTTGTCAAATCGATTACTAAAGATTAACAGTATCTCAATAATAAGCATTTTAATAAAATATGAGAACACAGACGTCTTTTTTAGGGGTTTCACATAAGCATAAATGCAAAACAAATAACTAACAACAACAAAAAATCAACATCCATAGCTACTCTAATCCTTATTTTTAGAGGTAACTTAAAGCATTCCCCTTCAAAGCTGTTTCCGATTAAAAGTGACGTGTGTGGTAATGGAGACAGAACCCAGGGCCTTGTACATGCTTAAGCAAATGATCATCCACTGAGCTACAACTCCAGGTCTTAATTTCTAACTTTTGAGACAAGGTCTCCCAAAGTTGCGTAGGCTGACTTGGAAATGGGTTATACTGTATTTTTTAAAAGCTTGCTCACGTGATCCTGATAGTAACAGCTGAAAAAAAAAAAAATCAAACCACATATGCATGCTTAAATTTTTTTACGGGTTGAATCAACAATATACCAAATAAATACTGGTTTTTCCATTTTGTAAAGTCTTTAAATCTCAGTATTATTTAATTCTGTAAAGTATTTAGCACAGCAACAACCTGGAATCAATGAAGACTAGACTACCAAAATTCTTAAAAAAAAAAAGTTTCTGAGAATTACACTGTGATCTTAAAGCAGCAATAACTATTACAAATGCCATGTGCCAGAAGCCTGTTCAAAACCACACATTACCACATTCAATCTGTACAATTACTAGGAGTGTAACATGTCTTCACTGCTATCCTCTCAGTGTCTACCAGCACACAACTATTTATTGTTCATATGTAACAAATACCTATCTCACAGAAACCCAAAAATAAGCTTGCTCAGAGAGCTAGAACTCTATAACCAAAACGTTTCTGCTTAAAGTTCACTCTTAATCATTGCCATATTGCCTCTCTAGAGCTTCTAAATCATTAAAATGGTGTCACAGCAGCGGCTATCACCTGTAAAAGAAAAACAATCAATGAGACCTTTCTTCAAAGTGTTTTCTGTTCTATATGCATAAAAAGCAAAAGATCTGAGACTATTTTACACTGCAATCGCCTGAACTAAGTTCCCACGGGTAAAAGGTTCTGATATATACTGAAATAGATGTCTCTGTATTAGGCAAGCTATGTTCAATGTGACACTCAAAGTGGTCACAGAAAAGTTATCACTTAGAAATCTTTTACTTTTAAGCTTTCAACTCTAGTGAGTTCTTCCTCCTCTCCTTTGCTAGCATCTCAAAAATAGACTCAAGTTAATACTTTCATAAAGCCACAATGACAGTACAATTATGATCTAAAAGAATTCAATACTTCAGCATCTAATATGAATTAAAATGTAAACATTTATCCTTCATAAAACACCAGTTTTTCCACTTAAACTCCAAAACCACACTTATTAAACAACTCCAAGTTAAGCAGTATCAGGTCTGTTTCAATAAAGCCAATTCCTTCCACATATATCTTTTAAAAAGTATCCTCAAAGTTTCTAACTTATGTCTCCCAATTTCCCGTAAGGCTGAATTTGTTCCCTGACTTTTTTTTCAAGTTAACTGTAAATACTCCACCCTCCTCGATTGTGCAAGAACCAAATACACCACAAATACACAAGACACAGAAAAAGCAAAGACTCTGAGAGTTTGAATTCTGGTGGAGTCTTGGGCAGAGGGTCCCCAAGCAGTGCTCGAAGCGGGATATAAAAGTTACCCCTCGACAAAGAATAGACCCTACACTATTAGAAACGAAGACGCCGGAAAGGGCCTGAGCCGGCGACAGCCGGCGCCATCTTAAGATGCGGGACAGAAGTTGGAGCAGAACAGAGCCTGAACCGGGCGGGGACCCTCGCCGCCGGCGGGGCAGCGCTGGTCCCCGGGCACAGGTGCGCGGCGGGAGCCCTGCTCGGAGCGGCGCGGCCTGGATCCCTGCCGGCCCCCAGCGCTCGGATGGCCCCGGGTGGCAGGCCGCGCACCCTGCAGCCTGGGCTCCGGGGACCCCACCCGCCCCCGGCCACCTGGCCCGAGCCCTCCCGCCGCGCGCCCGCTGGGCCCTACCTTGTTAATCCGCTTCAGCGCCATGGTCCGTGCTGTCCCGGCCCTCGGTGTCCGCGTGTGCTCGGTCCCGCCGCGTCTGGATGGTCCTCGGCTTCCAGCGGCTCAGACACAGCCCTTCGCGAGAACGGACAGAGTAGTCAGCGCTCGCCCGGGGCCCAGCGGCGGCCGGGAGTCGAGGAGTGCGCTGATGGGGTGCGGGGCCGGGATGGGGAGCAGGCCGGGGCCCTGGGGGGAGGGGAGGGGAGGGGAGGGGAGGGCCCGGGAGGGGGGCGCCGGGCGGCGTCACAGGGCCGGGGTGGGCGGGAGAGCGAGGCGGCCACCAGGCAGTGGCCGCTTTCGGTTTCCGCCCAGAGAGAACGCGGCAGGGGCTCGCGGGCCCGTCCCGCACCCGGCCCTCCGAGGGCACGCGCCCGGCCGAGCGGGCACCGTGGCCCGGCCTCCCCGCCGCCCCGCGGGCCTCCCGCGCCCACGCACAGAGGCCGGGGCTCCTCGCCTGGCCTCGCCTCGGCCTCCTCCCGCGCGGCTCCGGCGCCTCCCCGGCCGACGGGGCTCCGCGCGACACCGCCACAAGATGTCCGCCGGACGGAACTACGCCGCGCGCCGCCCGCCGCCCGCCGCCCCCCGCGCCTGCCTCTTCACCGCGCGGATCCGTCCGCCAACGCCGCGGCGCGAGGGAGCGCAGCTCGGCGGCCCAGTCCCTGGCCGGCTCGGCCCGCGCACCGCCGCCTCCCGCTCGGAACAGCACCTTCGACTACGCCGACCGGAGGTCGCGCCGGGCGGGCGGGGGCCGGGGGCGGGTCATGGGCCGAGGGGGGGCGGCGGCGGAAGCCCGGACTCAGAGAAGCATCGAGAACCGGAAGGAGACCCCGGGAGGAAGGGCTTGGAAGCGGCAGCTGCGCGGAGGCGCCCCACGCCCCTCCCAGCGGCGTCCCCCAGTTTCCTCACTTGGTACGGAGGAGGCGAATCTCGCGAGAAACGCGCGGCAGCCTGACCGGAGCTGGAGCTCTGCAATGACTTAAGGGCAGTTTTGTGCGCTCTTCCTGGGGGAGCCCCGCCCCCGGGCCCGCGAACTCTCGCGAGACGCGCCGGGACGCTGACCGGAAGTGGGTGGGGCCACGGCTGGGAAGCCCCGCCCCTCGAGGCGTGCGCTGGTGGGCTGGAAGGAAAGTGGAGTTCCGCGCAAGCCGACGCCTTGGGGAATGTGCAGGTGGGCGGGGCCGCGGCCTGATGACGGTTACCTGTGGTCCAGGTAGATCCTCGAGGGCAGGTGAACGGTATTTATCCCACTCCAGGCCCGCCCCTGGCGGCTGCAGACGCCCCTCGCCAGGGGAGCGGCGGATCCGCAGAGCGCACCCACGTGGCAGGGCCGGGCGCGAGCGGGACCCAGGAGATCGCGTTCCCGCGCAGCTGTGGGCGATCAGAGCTGGGGGCCGCAGGCCGACGCCTTAGAAAACCTTCTCTCGCGTGTCCAGTCTTCGGCCTGAGTAGCTAGATTCCGAGAAATCGGATAGGGTTTGGGGTCAGCGAAACTCAGAACGTGGTGGAACCGGGATGGCGGCATTGATAAGGGTAGGATGCAGCGTGTCCTAACTACTGAGGAGTTTCTAAAACTCGCCAAAGTCGAAGTCTTTAAGGATTATATGGAAAATAAACTTGTTTTTAAAATATGCTTCATTTAGAAAACAAAGTATTACCTAATAAAGTCTTAGGTAGGGCCGGGGATTTAGCTCAGTGGTTTCGCCGCCTGCTGCACAAGCACAAGGACCCGAATTCGATCCCCGGTACCAAAAAAAAAAAAAGCCTTAGGTCAGTGATAGGTGTTCTGATCAGCACTGTTCAAGTGACCATAGAGTGTCACTGGAGTCAACAATACTTCTCAAACTAGTGTCCATAGGGATCACCTGCAGTTTTTTCACAATGCGGGCTTTGATTTAGTAGGCCAGGGTGGAGACTTGAATCCATAGCTCTAACAAGCTCCCAGGTGATGTCGATACTTTTCTGGTCTGAGCCATTCTGATAGCAAATCACAAATGCTCTCACCTCTGGCCTACAGGATACCTGCTCCCTCCTCCTCCCTGAGTAATCTTTCCATAGTCCTTCTTGCTTACCAGGTATAGTAGAGGCATAGGATTAGGCCTGAGGGTGGAGAGAGAAACCCGGGTGTGCATTCTTGCTTATTGCTTCCTATTTGTGAAATGGGACTGGTTACTCATCTGAGACTGTTGTTCCCTACTCAGCTAAATGTAATAATAGCTATCCTCTCACGGAATTGCCATGTGGTTCCCATGTCACAAGGACACTAGACTCCTCGGCATAAGAGGCTGTATAACGTTAGTTCTTCAAGTAACAAGTCAGACGCTAACTGGCCCTATTGTAAAATAAATGTGCAGTAGTAATGATAGGAATAGATCATGCATATGGAAACTTATCACACACTGGATATTGTTTTAATAGCCCTCTTCTACAAATGAAGAAACTCAGGCACAGGTTAAGTTACTGTCCAAGGTGACACACCTACTAAGTGGCAGGAGTAGAATTTGAATTTATACAGTTAACTTCAGAATATGTATGGTGGAGTTTCATAGAGCAAGATGTTTTCTATTTATACTTTAAGTGACATCTGAAACTAACTTGTTTAATCTCTGTTGATCTAATTTATTATTTCTTCCATTTGTTTTGTTTTTCCAGAAGCCAGGGTACAAGGATAGGAGGAAACATTCCCATTTACATAAAGGAAACTGATAATATCCAGAGAGGTCCATCCTTAAAAGCCTCAGAGAAACCAACTTGTATTAGCCTAGTCTCAACAAGCTTCGGTATAAAAGCACAGTGGAATTCACTGCTGTGGGCTGGCACAACGCAGTGGACTGGGACAAACAGGAGGCAGTGGTCCTAACTTTTTTGTGCCACAGATCATTTTGGCAGCCTAATAAAGCCATAGACCCTTCTCCAAATAATATATATGTGAAATGAAATCCATCATATTTTAAAGTAAAACATTTGAAAATATTAACAGAAAAACAAAAATTTTATAAGTATACTTTCTTTTAAAAGGTATAGAAATGTGTAATAGAAAACCAGGCAATAGTTTTATCTTATTTGTTGAACCCCCTCCCCCATGGGTACCAAACTCTGGAAAATTGAATAATCCAAGTTGATCAGAATGATTTATTTCCCAAACGTCCTGGGTAATTTAGGTTTTATTGTATCACATTCATTTATTATATGCCTTTGTAAATAAGATGTGTGGAAGAATTAAGAAATGAAAATAATCAAGGATGAAAGAAATTTAAATATGCAATATTTAAATTTTTAGATAGGTTTTGATAACAGCTCAAGTACTTACTGTGTGCTAAGGCTTTTAAACTCATTATCCCATTGAATCCCTATTATACAGATGAAAAACTTCAGGTTATATAAGTAGTAAGTTGTAGAACCAGGATTTGAAGTAGGCAGACAGTCCTCAAAGACAGACTTTTTTTTTTAAAGGAGATTCTTGCTAAGTTGCCTAGGTGGGACTTTAACTTTTTGTCCTCTTGACTCAGCCTCCCTAAGTCCTAGGATAACAGGTGTGGGCCACCAAGCCTGACCTCAAGGTCAGCACTCCTAACCACTAAGCTGTTTATTTTTAGTCCTTTGACTGTTAGCCAATATTAATTTTCCTGCTAGTGTAACATATACATTTGCTATCAAAATATTTTATGTATTCTGTGTAGAGCTGTACTCAGTGACTGAAAGGGATTTTCCAAAGTCTTGCAGTGATACTAATTATATCCAGTATTATCTTTAAATGGGCTACTAGTTGGGGCTGGAAAATAGTTTTGTTTTACAGAAATTTTTGTTGTAATGGAGTTTGCAGAAAAGATAAAATCCACCCATGTCTACTCCAGCCCTGCAAACATACTTTCACGTTTGAAATCTGAGCTTTTGTTTTGTAAGTGTCACTGTATTTTTTATATTGACCATTATCAAGATCATATACAAAGCAGGCATGATGCTGTGTACTTGTACTGCCAGCTTCTTGGGAGGCTGGGGCTATGGAAGATTTCTTGAGCCCAGGAGTTCAAGGCCAGCCTGGGCAACATACTGAGACTTGGTCTCTTGAAATTAAGATAGCATAAAAAATTCATTTATAAAATAAAGCCTACTATATGAAATTCTAGATTATCCATGTTTAGTGAGGCAAGTAATGGTGTAATCCCAAATTCAGGTTTGTTTGGCACTCTAGAAGTGAATTTTATTGCTCAAGCAGACTTTCTGTTTATTTGCTTGGTTGTATTTGCGACAGTGGACTTAAACGTCTCGTATTTTGCTGAGGTTACAATCAAAAGGAACATAGCCCATAAGCATTTTGAGGCCTTATGATAAAGCAGGCTAGGATTAGCTGAAATTTTTAAACATTTTACATATTTGCATTAGAGTGAGCCCACTTTACAGTTGCAGTTAAAGTTTTCATTTTCATTATTTGATTTAATTTGGTTTACAATGATAATGTCTGTCTACAGAAAGGAAAGTAGATATGTTTTTTTGTTTGTTTGTTTTTTGGTACTGGGGATCAACTCGGATCCTTGTGCTTATGAGGCAGGAGGCAAAACCACTGAGCTAAATCCCCGGCCCCTTGATATGTTTTTTTATCATGGAGGCCAGTCTGGGAGGGGTCCCTCCTGTGTAGGGACCTTCTGTGATACAGCACACCCCCTATTAAAGACTCACTTTGGTATTCCTGTTAAAAAATAGAAGAGCTGGAGCTGGGGATATAGCTCAGCACTCCCTCAATTCAGTACCCAATAACACATGCATTCACTCTCTATGTATATATCGTATTTTCTTGCATGAATGTGTGTAAAGCCTGATAAAAGACTAAGCTGGGTGTGATGCACACACGTGTAATCCCAGCAACTCTGGAGGCTAGGGCAGGAAAATCACAAGTTCAAGGCCAGCTGGGGCAATTTAGAGACCCCGTCTTTAAAAAAGGGCTGGGTATGTATCTCACCCTTCCAAGGTTCGATCCCCAATACTGAAAGAAAAAAAAAATCATGAAAATTACTATGAAATTGGCAAATAACTAATCCACAAAGTAAGTGTCCCAGGGCCCTAATATTATAATAATTTGAATTTAGGGGTTCACTAAAGTATATTTGCAAGTAAATAGAATTAATATAATTTTGAACTGTAAGTGCAAATTATTAATATATCTATTAATTGTTAATGTATCTACATTTTCATGTCTCTTTGTAAATTTGTATTAGAATTTTATAACTTGCCTGGACCATTAGGTCTAATATAATGTATACTATCTTATTAGTTTAATTAAATTGTAAATGCTGTGTTCAAGATTTTACATTCAGAGTGCATTTTACATACTCTGCTTGGAATAGATAATATGGTGCCCAAGACAACCAAGTATTACTGCATTTGTTTGCATAAAAATCAAGTGAATTTTTATACTTCCCAGTTTGGAATCTCATTTTTGTTAATGTAGTTTAAGAAAACTACTTTCATGTTAAGAACTTCATTTTGACCATAAGTCAATACGGTTTTTGGCATGTTAATGAACCATGAAAAATATTCCCAATAAAAATAAATTAGCACATTTTCCCACACAAAAACATACACAGTTGTTCAGAGTAGGTACCAGTTGTAATATCCAAAAAGTAGAGGAACCCAAATGTGCATCAGCTGATGAGTGGATAAAAGGTGACATGCCCATAGAATGGGATAGCTCTGGTAAAAAGGAGTGAAATACCCGTGTTACGTGTGTCTTGAAAACATTTTGCTAAGTGAAAAAAGCCAGACACACAGGCCATACGTGCTACATGATTCCACTTGTCAGGTGTCAGCAGCAGCCAATCTATGGGGTAGAAGGCGCCTGTCTCAGCGCCAGGAGCCAGGGTAGGAGGAACGACTGTGCTGGCCAGGGTAGGGTTCTTTGGGAGGCTGTGACATTTTCAGGTCACTTACGGTAAATGAGATACAACATGTTTGTAACTGAAAATGTGAAAAATCAACAGGTTTTTCCTTCTGTGTAAACAATGTAATTTATACTTGATTTTAATGTACTAAGCACTGGCTGTTGGTCTTCAATTTGCAGGTATATTTATCGGTATTATTTGCTTAATAAAACATAATGACTTAGTTAACTTTTTGGCAGTGTTGGGGAGCAAATCCAAGAGAAGCTGGGAAGCGCCCTGCCACTAACCCACACCCCCCTGGCAAAATTAACTTTCAAACAGTATTGTATTTCATTGAATATAATTGTTCATAGTTATGGCCAGGAATGCAGCATATTGATTTTGGTATGCTCTACATACATAAAGAAAAAAATCTTTAAAATTTTAAATGAAATTAGATTAAAAATTGAGAAAATCATCAAAAATTTGGAATAAATATTTAAACATAAGCAATTCAAATTAAAATTACTTCCAAACCACAATTAAGATCTATCTTGTTTAATAATGACACAGAAACCCCAAAGTAAAGATAGATAGGTGGCAATTTATACCAGAAGTGATAACTCTTTTACTAGTATTGGGTTTGATTATTTAGATGCCTATATAAGAATTCTTCAGTAAAAGTGATGATAAGTTTAAAATTTCTTCTCTTAACACCTTCAGAGTGATTGTGATGATGCAGTACATACTGGTTCCTGAGGATCAGAGGGCCATGGGATCTGAGTGATACAGGAGCCATTGTGATGTTTTGGGTTCTAATGCACCATCCCTTTTGGGTTCTAATGAGCCATCCCTTGTCCTAAGGGGGACAGTTCCAGGACACCCGTACAAATGGGTACCACACACCATAGTGCTCAAGGCCCTCATATGAAATATAGGGTTTGCATTTAGTCCACCTGTAAATCATACCTAAGACCCTAGATGCTACAGACAGTTCTGTATTTAGAGATTACTGTCAAGAAAAACCTTTGGCTCAGTGGTTCCACCACCTGCCTCGAAAGCACAAGGTCCTGAGTTCAATCCCTGGTACCAAAAAAACCCCCAAAATTGCGTCTCACATGTTCAGTACAGATCAGAGGTTTTAAAAACTATTTTGATCTGGAGTGGGTTGAATCTAGATGCAGCAGGTTGACTACTGTCTGGCACCTGTTAAAGATTCTTTGACTCCATACAAGCACATGGCCCAAAAGAATGTACGAAACTTTGAGAAATCCTCCACTACAGCTAAAATAGTGTTTATTTACTCCAAGGATTTGGCTCATTTGATGGTAAAGAAGTATGACCATTTCAGAGATACTCCATCATCAAAGTATTAAATTTCAAGTATCAAACAATGATTAAGTAGAAATGAAATTGGGCTTTTCCATACATACCTGGTAAGATAGTAGAATGACAGATTTTCCATGTATCCAAATACCCATTAAAATACAACTCGGCTGGGAATATAGCTAGCTCAGTGGTGCAGCATCTGCCTGGCAAGCTGGAGTCCCTGAGTTCAATACCTGGTACCAAAAAAGAAAACTCAGCCTCAGAATGCTTGAAATTTAATGTTTTAGACACAGGTTATGGAGAGACTAGCTTCTCCTTGTTTTCCACCTTTCTGTGTGCACTAAGAGGGAAGATTACTCTGGAGCATGTTAGGGGTAGGGCACAATGCCTACCCTTGGCTTGAATGCGGTTATAATTAAGGAAAACAGGCAAGGTAGGGACACTGGAGGCTAGATGGAGAGATACACAGAAAGAAGCAGGAAGGGCACCCAGGTGTGGTGGTGCATGCCTATTGTCCCAGCACTCAGGAGGCTGAGGCAGGAGGATCACCATGAGTTCCAAGCCAGGGTAGACTACATAGTTCAAGACCAGCTTGAACTACGGAGCGAGATCCTACCAAAAAAAAAAAAAAAAAGGCCAGGGATTTAGCTCAGTGTTTCCACTGCCTGTCTCACAAGTGGAAGGCCCTGAGTTCGATCCCTGGTACAAAAAACAAGAAAACCACAAAAAAACAGGAAGGGAAATGTTAGAGAAACTTAACATGTATTTGGGGTGAGCCCTGTGAGCTGAGTTGAGGAGGAAAGCTTTTTTCTTTTTCCTTATTTTGTTCATACATTTGTGTGTGTAATGTATATTAAGCAAATATTTTTGATTTCCCATTCCCTTATTATGTAGCATAAGATGTATTAACTTTGTATTAATATTTACATACTGTTTACATCATACTGTTAGAGTTACATCAGAAGATAAGGAAGTATAAAGGACTTTGTCATCTTTGGGAGAGGGGATTAGAATCTAATTTGAGAAACACTGATGTGAATAGAGGTTATAAATTTATTAGGCTTGACCCTGTAACTTGGGTAGGACAGATAAATGTGATTCTAGAGTCAAAGGAGAAAGGAACGCTTAGATGCATTTTAAAGTTGACTCCTATTCTGAACTCAGGACATAATTTCTTAGGGAAAATTAGTATCTGCAGGTCAACCCACAAAAAGTGTCTCTAGGGCCGGGATTTAGCTCAGTGGTTTTGCTGCCTGCTGTGAAAGTGCAAGGACCCGAGTTCAATTCCTGGTACCCCCCCAAAAAAGTGTCTCTAAATCCAGCCTCCCTGTGGGTGTTGCCTTCCCGTGAGAAAATGCTCCATAGTTTCCACACAGGCTTAGCAGGGTGCATCAACCCTGCTCCCAGGCAGAATGAGGCCTTCCTTTCTAATCTAGCAGATACTAGTTTAAAATGACCACCAGAGTGACTTCCTGTGGTTTGTAGTAAGTACTGAAGGACATCGGGAACAGCTGACTAGGGTAAAATCAGTTGAATGATTGGGTGAAAGCTTTAGGAAGCTGGAAATTGCTGGCCAAGGAATTCTGTAGATTTTTTTTTTTTTTTTGGAGTACTGGGGTTCAAACTCAGGACCTTGTACTTGTGAGGAAGGTGCGGTGCCACTGAGCTAAATCCTCCGCCCTGGAATTCTGTAGATTTCATCTTCAGTGTTACTGTATGTTTGGGGTTTCCTCTGGGCTCCCTTTTGTTTTTCAGTCCGAGGTGGGTTCACTGTCATTATCAATTGATTATCACCAGGAACCAATGAGCTTTCTTTGTTTACCCTACTAACTACAGAAAGGGACAATTTCACAGGATTATTATTTTCCTTACACCTCCGTTCCTAAAACAAGTACAATATGCACTTTGTCAGGTTCTCATAGGGTATTTTTTTACGATACTAGGAATTCAGCATTTATGTATAATTGTAAGCAAACAGCTGGCATTGTGAAGTTCAGTGACAAAGTAGGGAAAGGGTTAAAAAACTCATGTGGGGGGAAGGGAGAGAAGGGCAAGAGGAAGTAACAAAGAATCAAGAGGTGTTATGTACTCCTACCAACTTCCTGCAATGTGTGTAATCATGTACTGCAAATGTACTAAATCTTGGTTTCCTTCCTATCACTGCCACCAAGCCAGGACCCTCATCCAACTAAGACCTGATTGAAAAAGTTGCAAGATTCAACTACAGCCATGTGCCATATAAGACATGTCCATCAATAGCAGATCACATGGAGGATGATTGTCCTAGAAAATCGAAGTAGGCCTGGTGAGGCAGCCACCCTAACATAGCACGCCATATTGCATGTTTGTGGTCATGCTGGTGTGAGCAAATTACTCTGCTGCCGGCGGTGTAGAAGTAAAGCCCAGGGCTGGGGATAGAACACTTGCATGTGCGAGGCTCTGGGCTCCATCCCCAGCACAGGAAAAACAATCCAGCATGGGCTGGGGATTTATCTCAGTGGTTCCAGAGCCTGCCTCGCAAGAGCAATGTTCCGAGTTCGATCTCCGGTACCAAAAAAAAAAAAATCCAGCATGTTCAGTTACGCACAGTACATAGTAACTTGAGGATGATAATAAATGACTGTTTACTAGTTTATATGTTTACAACGCTGTACTTTTACTGTTTGAGTGTATTATAAAAATGGTATTCCAGGCTGGGGATTTAGCTCAGCGGCACTGTGCCTGCCTGGCAAGCGCAAGGTCCTCAGTTTGATCCCTGGTACCAGAAAAATAAAAATAAATAAAGGTATTCCATGTTACACCAGCAGCAGCTTCATACATCTCAGGTTTACGCATCTCAAACGCATTGCGAAGCCACACAGTGACTGCCCTGTACCATTTATGTTTATGGTAGATACTCAGGATGTTCACTAAGAGGAAACTACCTAACAGTGCCTTTCTCAGAATGTATCCCCATTGTTAAGCAATGAATGACTGTACATTTTAAAGACAAAATCAGACCCTGGAGGCCATACATCAGAAATGAGTTTCTGGGATAAAATCAAGTTGTTAGCAGGGCTGCGTTCCTTTCTAGATGCTTTAAGGCAAAATGTGTTTTCTTACCCTTTCCCGCCTCTAGAGG